GAGAGAGAGAGAGAGAGAGAAGGAAAGAGAGAGAGAGAGAGAGAGACAAGTGAGAGAGATATATACAGAGAGAGACTGATTCGATTTTATAAAATTTATTTACAGAACAATGTAAGTGCCCTGCAAAAAGCCAGAGTAAGATGTCAAAGTATCTATCTAAACTGGCTGTGCTTCTCTTTTTTTAAAGGGCTGTCAGTCATATATTAGTCCTACATGTCTGAATGCATAGTACATAGATGTTAAAGTTAAAGTACCTTGCCTAGAGGGTTTTGTCATTGTGCATAAATTATTCACGTTGTCGTTAAAAGATCGTTAATTACACACACACACACACACACACACACACACACACACACACATATATATATATATATATATATATATATATATATATATATATATATATATATATATATATAAACAAGACCAGCGTCCATAATAGAATTAATGTAATGAATTAGTGTTGGTCTCCAGACAGTGCTAACTGATGGACAGAATGCAGCTTCCGTGCAACAGAGTAAGGAATAGTTAAGATTACGCGACTTGGGCGACTTGCACATTTTTGCAGTGGTGTTATGAAACTGGTTATGCCTCCTACACTGCGTCATGTATATATTGTATACATGATGTCCTATGTGCTGCCTGGTTAGTGAAACCTGCTGTTTCCGAAGCAGTCCATTACAAACTTAACGGAATTTACCCATGCCAGATGTCCCAGCAATACATTCATAATGCCAGATGGTACTAAGGCCATTTTCTTCAGTTGTCTGCTTTTCCGTAACTAGCCACCATAATCTCGAAGAGAGTTGATAACACGTTATATTTTCTCAATTGTATGAGAGATGGTACACAGTATGGTTCATCATGGGAAAGTGCTAGTTTTGTTAACTGATCAACCTTGCCACAGGTTGATATTCCTATATAAGAGGGTATCCAGTATAGTGATACTTTAATATCCTGCTCTGATAGTCCAGATATTTGGTGAAGGATATTTCTAGCTACTAAGTTTTCTGGAATAAATTGAATGATCCTATAGAGCGCACCCTGGCTGTCAGTAAAGATACTAGGTGTCGCTGCTGCTCAGTAGAGAGACTCAGAGAGATAGAAAATGGGAAAGAGCAAAATCATAGACTAGAGATTTCGTGGGCATGGTAATTCAGCTTCAGTGTATAATAATAATTCGTACTGTGATAGTTCTATTGCATGCGGTTGCTACATTTGCGGAATGCGCCATTCATATCTTGAACAAAGAAGCATTGTCAGTACTATGAATGATTATTAATTATACATAAACACACACACACACACACACACACACACACACACACACACACACACACACACACACACACATATATATATATATATATATATATATATATATGTATGTATATATATACATATATATAATTATATATATCTATATCTATATCTACATATATAATTACATATATGTATAAATATAATTATATATATATCTATATCTATCTATCTATCTAAAACACACACACACACACATATATGTGTGTGTGTGTGTGTGTTTTAAATATGTGAAGTTGTGATCAAGCCACTGTGACTTATCAACGTCAGATTTAACGCAATGATTTTAATTTCTCAATTGCAAATTCTTCAAAACGAAATTAAAGACATACAAATTCTCTAGATGTACTGTAAGTCTTGGTCATATTCCACACATTAAAGTTGTGATCGAGGTGAAAACCCGACCACTTGTTTTCGCTTCAGACTACAGACCCTCCTTCTCAGGTTTCATCACCTTTTTAAGTTGCTATGGGTTTAAGGTAGCAACTATGACGATAAGAAAACGTTTTGGAAGTCAGTAGTAAGGCATATCTCTCTCATAATTTGTCCTCTCTGCAGTATCTTTAATGTTAGAGATAGTAAAAACATTGTGATCAATGCATTTTTGAATACCATCAGACTAAATGCAGATCACGATCAGCTTCATATATTAAAGACATTAAGAACACGTGACGTTTTGATTCTTCTTAACTATTGTCTTAGAAAGACTTTCCAAATTCAGCAAAACTAATCTCCTTAATTATGTACTTTATGACATCTAAATTAGTTGATAATTAGTAAGGCATTTCAAGAAACATACAATCATTCAGTCAAAGGATTGATTAACAATACACAAGCAGATTTATTTGTCATCTTTATTCCTGTGCATCTTACTGGCTGGACAAGGTAAAGCCTCAGTCGATTTAAAAGTTGTTTCTCGGATTGGGGTGTAGTGTGAGCCGCAGCTGCTATGGTTGTATGCTGTGCGAGGATGGTCTTGAGGTTGAGTGTCTTGGATCTTGTTCAGTAACTTCAAATGCACAGACTACCTTATTATCGTTAGCCATGGGTAGCCTGCCTTATTGTTTCCCTACATGTGCATGATTTGTCAACGTCAGACTACCAAAACAACGGAGATGCTAGGTGTTTGTGACAGACAGACAAGTATTGTCAGATTCTGATTAAAAAATGACAAGACTTT